TTGCATTCCAAATGGATTAGATAATAATAATAGGAAGATTATTAGTAACAGTAATATTTGAGATAAACAAATATGGTTTTGTTTGAACCCCAGCAATAATTCTCACCAACTAAAACACTTAAAAAAGCAAAACATCTTTAATAAATGTCACCGCTCACAGACTGTATGTTTGCATTTCTAAATTAAAAAGCAGGAAGGCTTCTACTGCGCTGTAATTGGGCAAATGGCTCATTTTAATTTGCATCATTTTGATTTCTCACAGCCTAAAAGCACTAAAAAAAGTCTCATGGTTGCGACAGATTTTAACATTTTGCATTTAAGTAGCGGTAATGTACAATTAAAAAGCTACTGCTAATGTACAGAGCCAGAGAGTTGTATATTTAATTGCTCGTGGGTGCTTTTTATTTTTATTTTTCTCCAGGGCTACAGCGTTTAACTGGCCACTCTGTTCCCATCATAAAGGTTTCATGTAAAGCATCAGTCAGCAAATGGTCTGGCTGCCCCGATGTGTGGCTCAAACATGCTGCCAATTACGGCCCCCACGGCCCCTGATCTTACACTGAAGGGAGCCGCTCCGACAATGATGCGTCCTCACACTTCTCTCGCTCTTCTTGTGCATGTGTTTTCAGTCCAGGGCTCAATTTGGGAGTCAAATATTTAGGTTAATCATTCCAGGAATGTCATACTTCTAGGAGGACGACGGCATTAAGAGCGTGCCGCTGTTTGCTTAGGGAAACCCTGAGGCTCCTGGACTCCTGCACATGTGCTTGATGCCTAGAGCACCAGATCAGACAGATGTCAGAGCACGTGTGTGTCAGGAGAACGATGCTGCTCGATGTTTGTCTGTCATACATTTATCTGGAATTAGTAGGAGTCTGGAATCTATGGAGTCTAGAAGCATTTTTGTTCACATAGTTTGAGGTCTGTTCCAAATTTCCAGTTTGAAGGCATCCCATGAACATCCTGATGCAACACCTCTTCCAAAGGTAGGAAGGAACATTATGCTGTTTCCACGATAACTTGTTTTGGCCAAATACTTCACGTGTGCCTTTTGTAAAGAATCCTATAATGCAGATAGGTGACCATATGTCCTTATTTTCCCAGATATATTGTGGCTGGGATTTCTAAAATGTCTGGATTTTGGCTTTGTTTTCCTGTTGTTTTCATACTTGATGGAGGAGGTAATGACTGCATAGTTTGACCAATAGCATGTAGGCATTGTGCATAATCGACCAATCTTGGAGTGCGAGAAGGTGGGATCTACAGAGGATGGTCAAAGCAATGCAAAAACTCATACACATAATTTATGAAGACTGTCGAGAGAATGTCAATAGGAAAACAAAGCCAAAACCTGCACATTTTAGGGAAAACGAGGATGTATGGTCACCCTAATCAAAGATAGTAGATGAAGTGAGTGAAATGTTTATTATAAATATAAAAATTCACTTAATATTGCAAAGTATCTGCTCAATCTGAAAAATAAGTTGCACCTAGTCAAATTTGTATTGTTGGGGGAAAAAAACACACATTTAGAAATTCCATCACTGTATACCTAGTGAACAGGAAATGTTCCTCAAGGTACGAACAAACATTCTTTCACTCACTTTAATAGACTGTTTGTTCAGAGTTTTTCATGTCTTTATTAGTCTTTGATACTGTTCTCAAAACATTAGCTCAAAACCATCATTTATACATCGTTAATGGAACATTTTAGTAATGTTCATGTAACATAAAAAAAGCGTTCAGAGAACATTCAAAAGTAATGTTCCCATAATGTTTGCAAAATGATCAAATGGAATGTTCTTTCAATGTTCACATAACCAAGAAAAAAACGTTTCTAAAAGAATTTAAAAACATTTAGAAAAGTTTTTTTTTTTTATCACTTAATGGGAACATATTTTTCTTAACTGGATCTCATTAAGAAATAATGTAAAATATTGGTAAATAAAACTTATTTATTTACAATAATTCTAAACGCTATAGCACTCATGTATTTTAGTTCTCTCAGAACAGAAATAAAATATTTAAGTATAAAACAAATATAAATTATATGGATTTATTATGAACAATATTTATTATAAATGTCAAGCGTAAACAAATTTATTTAACATGCATCTGAAACTACCGGCATGTGGGCAATGCGCTATACAGTACATATACCTAAATTTGAGCCCACATTCTCAACACCCATACAAACGTGTGCACTTTGTGCATGTTTTGCATGCTTGAATTTAATTGCATTATAGAAGTCACTTGGGAATGTTGCATGTTTCAGATGACAAAAAATGTGACTTATATTCGGAAAAATATGGTAAATAATTTTTGAGTGTAATTTTTTAAAATAAAACTATTTTACCAAACATTGAATGAGCTATATATCAGAGTATCACGTTGTCCAAACTGTGTGTGCTGCAGTTGTGGCAATGCTGACAATGCAATGAGCTGCATTATGAATTAAGTTCTGTTGATAACAGATAGTTTTTGCAGCAATAGCAGACACAATTGTTGTACTTGTAACTAATTTGTTCTCATAACCATACATTTTTAAGTGTCGTTGATCTTTTCATTAAGAAGTGCATTTGAAGAAGAGTACAATCAGTGTATTTCCCAGTAAAACAGTGTTGCAAATAAATGGGCAGTACAAGGAAGTGATCTGTCGTTGCTTCCATTCAAAAACATATTTCTTCTTTTAGATTCAGAATGCGTTCAGGACATTTGTTAAAACTGATTTTTGATTTCAACTCTGTAAAACTGATATGTCATAATAAAACAACATACACGTAACTCAAGATGTTCCACTGATTTCAGCCTTTATATTCAGATGGTCATATTTCACTCTATACATCTGTGTCTTATGTTTCTAATGTTGTTGCTAATGTTTCTAATGACATGCACCAGCTGTGTTGCATGTTTAAAGCTTAAAAACCCATTACAATCCCCTTCAGTTCCTCATCCACTAACAAAAAAAAGAGTATAAATCTGTCTGAATGCTCATCTGGGAAGCCACTAACGAGCCCCTGCTGAGTCGGTATGTCATGATGTCTTGTAATAGAGAGATCATACTCGTCCCTTGATACTACAACATAACTGGCAAAACTACACTCCCATCAAAAACCATCTGCAGCCCTCGCCCCTCATGCACATCATGTCCTACAAAGAGCCCACGTTTTTTGGGAGTTTTTTTTTTAGAGACAGTGAGAAACCAAGCTGATTCTTCCACTTTGTCCAGGATGTGGATGAGACTGGCAGTCACCAAGATACTTTCTATTTGATAATAGAAGAAGAGGCAAGAGAATCAAGTCTAATACGAAATCAATATCTAATAAGATGGACTTGGGGGGCAAATATCAAGATGAGAAAACGGTGCTCAAATTCATAAAAGGTACCTACTTCTGAACTTTTCATGAAGTGAAATGGTACTTCCTCCTCTGAAGATTGCTCTGGGGTGCGTTTCCCAAAAGCATCGTTAGCCAACTATGGTCACAAGTTCCGTTGTTATCAGCACAGTTTAACGAATCGTTGTTTCACGAAACTAAAGTTCCAACGAACATTCACAAACTTGTGCAGTTACCTGTAGAACGACAGCTCTCAACCTGTGGTTAGAAGCATAGTTTCTTGTTTGAATGACGTGGACTTTATAAATCCTTATCTTGGGCAAAATAAGCAAGCTAACATTCAGCACAATCTATATCTTTCATTTCTAATATATACAAATTGAATTTCCGTCTCTTAATTTGTCAAAGATTTGAAGTGCTGTTTTTGAATGATGCGCATGTGCGTACGTATGCTCTAGTGCGTAAGAAAGAGCTGATGATTGAATCTGGAAATTAAGCAGAATAACTGAGGGGAAAAAGAGAATTAGCCCTCAGATGCCATGTCTGTAATTTATAGCAAAAAATCTGCCATTAACCAACATGGTTGAACGACAAATTTGCGAGAGTATTGTTTCAGGAAACAGTCATGACTAGCTAGTTGATTTCTTTAACGATGCATATATGCTAGTCACGTAGTTGTGCGGGAAACGCACCCCTGGTTGTGAATTTGCTCTTTTACCTGTGCATGTCGTGCGTCCTTCTGCACTGCCAACATAATGCAGAAATGAGTTTATGGGGTTGTGGTATTGCAATGGATGGAGATACTATGGGTTTTCAACTAACTTTACTAAATGAATGTCACTAACAATACATTCATCCAACTCATGCATCTGTCAAAAGTTTAATTTCTCACTTTCTACAAACCAACTATTTGGAGCCCATTGAATAAATTGCAATGGATATCCTGCTTGTAAACAAACCAACTGTTTGGGTCCCTTTAAAAGCATAGTTCACCCAAAAATGAAAATTTGCTGAAAATTTCTTCCAAAATTATTACATGGGTGTTGCAGAATGAGAGTCCAATCAGCTGATAAAAACATCACAATAATCCACACCACTCCAGTCCACAATTCAATGTCTTGAAGCCAAAAGCAGTGATTCTAAGAAACAAATCTATCAAGAAGTTTTTAACTTCAAACTATTGCTTCTGGCTAAAGTATGCATCCATAATCTATAATATTGCTTTCTCCAGTCACCCTCTGTCACCCAACGACTCTACACGGTCCCCAAACCACGTTTTGTCACGAAAACACAGGGGAATGGGAATGAAGCGAAACAACAATTGAAACAGGAGTTGTTTATTTGAAAATGGATGTAGGGAAGAAATTAGTGCTGCAAGCTGTTTGCGTGATGATCTGTTCTGAAAAATGTATCCAGACTTTTCTTAAAGCCATTTTGCTGCTTCTGTTTTTCTTCCGCTGACCTCAACCGATGCCTTGCTCTCTCATTGGCTGTAGCTCGTCACGACACTTGACACCACGTGATGTTGAGTCGGCCGACAGGTCCAGATATTTAGCATGCTAGATATTTGTTTGGTGTTGGCGAGGCGTCAGCGAGCCTCTTTGATGCATCGTTGAGTAGTTCACACATAAAGATTGCCGAACGTTAATTCGGCTGATTTTCCGCCGATCACAGTCTGACCTGTCGGCAAGCTCGTTAACTTGCAAATCGGGCTTAAAATCCTGTAGTGTGAACTAGGTATTCGTTTTATGGTTATTTAAAGACTAACAGTTTTAGCCTTACAAATCGTGCTTCTGCTGTGCACAAACTGACTAATTTTATGAACAGTTTATAGATTTGAAACCTGCACTTCTGCATTGTTAGGGTCTACTGGATGGGTACTAGCTGTTGCTAGAGTGCTCTAGATGGTTTCTAGGCTATTCCGGATTACTTCTGGTTCACTGGAAATGAGACACAAATTACATTTTTAAAATGTTTGGAATAAGGCTCCTCTTCATCTTGATAGCTAGCATTTTTTTAAACGGTTTTGTTCGCCTTGCCTTTTGTGGTGACCTCATGGATCTGGACACTTTTGCAGTGCATGTTCAAACAGGTGTTTAGGAAAATGATTTGTTGTATTTAGGGAAACTAAAATCAACAGGGTCTTTTACCCAGAAGTGACTCTAGCCCTGTTTGTAGCCTATAAAGAGCTCAAAATCACACCAGAGCTCCTTTCAAAGACCACTGTCCCGAACAGATCATAGTTTGACATTATAATCCTTTGTCATTATAAAATATCCACAGTTTCAGGTTTCAGAACATTTTGGAGAACATTCATGGTCTTATTTTCCATGTTCGCTGATTAGGGCCAATGCAGAGCACTAAATCTCCTCAAACCACGTGTGTCTGATATACTGTATATCATTGTTTTATCAATATGCCTATTTCCTATGAAGGATTCAGTGCTGGCTACAGGACAACATAAATCTTGGATCTCGCGTATTCACTGGTTGTCTGCACACATATAAGGCAAGATGGAAAGCTTTTGCCCATGACTTGGATACAGTTATCTCATGCAACATGAACTATAAGACCAGACAACAACATCACTTCATTTCCTGGTTTTCAGTTTGCAGAAGCCTTACTGAGTTTTTTAGTGAAGGTCAAAGCAAGGAACTGGTTACAGGCAGCTCACATCAGACTAAAGCCTCTGCCATGTGACTCTCCAAAACCTCGTTCTCAAATCTTTGAGACTCCGCTGGTTGTCATAGAGAAGGTCACACTGCTTCTTTCTGCTATTAGAAACAGAACGGCTCATTAATTCAAGGCCATTGATGGAATCACTTTATACTGGCTTAAAAGGCTTTCCTAAAGAGACTGTATTAAAAAAAACCCCGCAGTGAACACACAGGAGTACTTGGCCCAGCAGGCATTATAATAAATGAGGGATGCTGTATCTGCCAGTCTATAACTCTTGAAGACTCGGTGAGAGATTCTGTCTCAGATTAGTATAAATATAACCGAGCATCTTATGGAGACCGAGCTAGTTGTCACACTTTTTACTCTAGTCAATATTTCACATGGATTTATTTTTGTCAGGGTCGATTTCTTTACAGACACAAACCATACTCTTGACTTTAAAAACCCTTTTAAACATCTTCGCTGTTATTGCCTAAGAAAAACATGCAGTTTTGTGGCAAAATGCCCCGCTATTGCCCTGCTGGCTTTTTTAGGAAAATCTAAACGGGGGAACAATTCTAAAATACAAAACTAATCATGAAATAGCAGAAATTTAAAAGGTAACATACAACAATTTAGTATAAAAGATAACCTACAAAAACGGTGAGAGATTCTGTCTCAGATTAGTATAAATATAACCGAGCATCTTATGGAGACCGAGCTAGTTGTCACACTTTTTACTCTAGTCAATATTTCACATGGATTTATTTTTGTCAGGGTCGATTTCTTTACAGACACAAACCATACTCTTGACTTTAAAAACCCTTTTAAACATCTTCGCTGTTATTGCCTAAGAAAAACATGCAGTTTTGTGGCAAAATGCCCCGCTATTGCCCTGCTGGCTTTTTTAGCAAAATCTAAACGGGGGAACAATTCTAAAATACAAAACTAATCATGAAATAGCAGAAAGGTAACATACAACAATTTAGTATAAAAGATAACCTACAAAAATACAGATGTGTTAAATGTGCTGTATAAATAAAGTTTGACTTGACTATCAAACTATTGTTTTGGTCAACAATTAAGGAATAATTAACGACGGGCTGTTGAATTATTAGAAAATGATGCCTTACACCTCGGGTGTGCATTATTTTCTAATAATTCAACAGACTGAAGTCAATTATTCTGCTTATACTATGATTACCACACCTCAAATATTGTTCAGATGTTGTATTTCAAGACATTCGTCAGGTTTTTGTCCTTAAAACGCTCTTGTGAGTAGGATTAATTTCTTACGCATCTCATCCCATGCCTGTCTTGCTAATTCCAAAATGTCATTTTAGACCTAGTAATGGAGGCTTGAGCTGTTGATAGCAGACTAATGCAGTTAATAATGAAGTTATTATAGAGAGAGAGAGCGAGAGAGAGAGAGAGAGATTAAGTGTGTGAATTACCTGAGTAAAGGGACTTTGCCTGAGTCTGTGCGTCTCTCAGCAGTGTTCGGCAGCATCGTCTCTACTAATAGTAGACAACAAACTGTAAGTTAATCTGCTTCAAGAACAACGCCGCTGTTACATCGCTTGTGAGAAATGTCATGTAGCTTTTAAGTTGCTAAACTATTTTACTGATAAAATCATCAGAGCAGTGCTGACAACACGTTTCTGTGCGCGTGTGTTTCCGTGTGTGCAAGTGTAACCGGACTGTATGTGTGTGCAGTGGTGTATTGGTGCCTGGAGAAGTGGGTATACTCTTAATTTATGCCTCCATTTTTTTAAAGTGTCCCAGCAAAAGATGAACACCCTGTGTTATAAACAGTGACATGCAAGACAAGTCTTGCATATTGAGTTCACCCCAAAATGGGCCAGTAGTACAGTGCCAACCACTGCACCCTTGGTAAATATGACCAAAGGTGGCTGTGAAAATAAATCTGCATCGTTGATCTTTATGATCTTTCATTCAAAAAATTCACAAAATTCTAACCTATCCTTGAAGTAAAACAATTGAAATATGGGGGGAAACTCACATTATGAAATAATTGTTTTTCTCCAATACATGTTGGCCACAATTATTGGCACCCCTAGAAACTCTTATGAGTAAAATATCTGTGAAGTATATTCCCATTTATATTTACATTTTTTTTTTAGCACACCAGGGTGACTAGGAGCATGAAATTGATTTCAGAATGATGTGAAAATTAAAAGAGCTTTTTGGCAGCTAACCCACCAGATGGGTTTGGTGCAAACAGGGATGAAAAGTACCCCATGCCCACGGTTAAATATACTGCTGGATCTTTAATGTTGTGGGCCTATTGTTCTGCCGGAGGTCCTGGACATCTTATTCAGATATTGGCATCATGGATCCTATCAAATACCAACAGATAAAAAATCTAATCCTGACTGCCTCTGTTAGAAATCTTATAATAGGCCGTGGTTGGATCTTCCATCAGGACAATGATCCAAAACAAACATCAAAATCAACACAAAAATGTCTCACTGAGCACAAAATGAAACTTCTGCCATGGTCGTCTCAGTTCCCTGACCTGAACCCAATAGAAAATGAGTGGTGTGAACTGAAGAGAGGAAGCACCAACATGGAGCTGTGAATCTGAAGGATCTGGAGTGATTCTGGATGAAGGAATGTTCTCTGATCTCTTGTCAGGTGTTCTCCAAACTCATCAGGCATTATAGGAGAAAACTCAGAGCTGTTATCTTGGGAAAAGGACGTTGCAATAATTGAGTGCTAATGTGAACTAGAGAAAAACATTTATTTAATAATGTGAGTTTCCCCCCCACTTTCCATTGTTTTACATCAATGATAGATTAGAATTTTGTGAAGTTTTTGAATGAAAGATCAAAAAGATAAACAGATTTATTTTCACAGCCACCTTCGCTCATATTTACCAAGGGTGCCAATATTAGTGGTTGGCACTGTATTTAGACATTGTCACTTAACTTCTGCTGCTTGACTTCACAGAGTAAGGATCATTCTGAAATATTAGCCACAGAAGAGGTGCAGATTTTGCAATAAATAATATATATTTTTTTTAAATAGACTGCATTAATTAACATTTTGTCAAAATGTCTAGTAAATGACAGTTGATCTGTATATGACATTTTTTTTTTTATTATTTGTCCATAATTGTGCAGCTCTACTCCTATGTGTGACTGACTGTTTCTCCCATGACATACAGTGATGGGCAAATGGTAATTTTGAGCCCTGACATACGTTATTAACATAATTTACAATGTCCTGTTATTTAAAAAGTGCTCACCTTGGTTGACGTCTTCATTCAAAGTTGAAGAGGCAGCATCTCTGTCACTAGCTATGTTTTCATCCCCCTGTTTTTATGCGCAAGTAGGCCTATCACATCAGAAATTAGCCACATTTAGAAAAAAAATCCCTTAATTCGCAAAAAAAACTTTTTTACGCTCGGTTGAGGTGTTTTTTCACTTGTGCGAAAAAGAGTTAATGTGAATAATGGGGGATGGAAACACATTTGCTGAATAAAATGGCTGGACTGTCATGATTTTGGCTAATGCAGAACACTACTGAATGATGCGCATCAGAGGGGATTTAGAAGTGGGTATACGCAATGCCGACTGATAAAGAAGTGGGTATACGCCAAATACCTGGATATACCCTGCAATACACCACTGTGTGTGAGTGTTTGTAAGGGAGAGAGAGCGGGAAAAAGAGAGTATGTGCTTTCCACAGGGGGGCCAGGGTGGACCTCACCCACCCAATCAGCAGCTTGGCCCACCCATACCGCATAATAGACAATCACAAAATTGGTGCAAAATTGAATTATTCAATTGAGCTCCATAAATGTTTCTTTTTTGTGTTCTTCCCAACCCTCTCCTTTTTTTAATTTATTTATGTATTTATTTATTTTGTTGAGGCAGCATTAGCCAGCTCATTCACTTTGCTACATTTGAGGTTAACGAACGTGCTGGATTTTGAAGCAAAATAATGACAATAACAGCCAATTAACTTTGTTAGAGCTGTTAGTGAACTTTATTACTGCACTTTAGAAGCCTAGCAAAACACAATATGTACAGATTTCTTGTTCTGAAAGGACAAAAGAAAACCACTTCAGCTCACCAGGACACAGCTACCACCTCATCCATTTGCGGCAATGAGGTTGGAGAAATAAACGAGTCAAGTTCATCAGCAGCATCTGATAGTGTTAAAAACATAAGTACACACTCAAAAATGCAGAAATTCTGTCTCAATTGATTTGAACAGGGCAAATCCTGACCAGCCGATTCTAAAGCCATACCCCCGATATCCTACCCACAAGGGAGAGATGCTTTTCAGCCGCTTGGTATCATTCACTCCTGAGGCTTGAATATTCCATAGAGCGTGATGCATGCTTTTGTTTTCCGTGTCGAGTGTTCAGTGTTGTAAAAATTATAGAGATGTCAGGACTCGACAATAAGCACTGCCCGATGAAAGAGTGAGTTCAAATGAGTACATTTGTTTTTGTTGTATTATTGTGGTTGTATTATACTACACTGGATTATAGCAGAAACGAGCACTGCCTTGGTTTCAGTAACCTTAAAACATTTAAAAGAAACATTTTTGCTACAGTTAAGGCTTGAATGAGCCGTCATTGTTGTGATACATTAAAGCCTGACATATGAAATAATAATCAGAAAAATCTTAGTAAAATATCATCTTAGTAAGATGAGATTTAAATGATCAAAACCTATAATGCAATGCAATGAAATGACGATTGAGAGATGAACAAATAAACGTTTCTCAAAAGCCTGATGATCATATTTGAGACTCATTGATTTTTCTAAAAAAATAATGTCTGGTAATCGAGTAAAAACCAGTAAACATTTCACAGCAAAAGACACGTGAGGCACGAGCTGAAGGTGGACATTTGTACAATTATAATAAAAGGCCTTTTACTCACTAAGAATGTGTAAACTATCAATCAGACGACAGAAGGCATGTAGTAAATAGTGTGCAATGGGTTTTGATCATGTTGATCATTTAGAGGCCTTAGAAATTCATGTACCAAATATAATACAGTGTGCTTCAAAGGGTTAAAGGAACATCTCTACAGTGTTGGTGAAGGTACATATTGAACAACTGTGTTTTTTTTTATTGTAGCTTTATTAATTAAAAATCTGTAATGATAATTGGAAAGTTGTCAGGTTTAAATCCTTCAAGGCCTGATCCATGAACTTCATCAGGTTAATAAATATTTACTTTTACATATAGTCATTTACAGAGGCGGACAAAGTACTCAACTCCATTACTTGAGTGAAAAGAAAAATAATACTCAAGTAAAGTACAGATACTCAAAAAGTGTACTTAAGTACAATACTCAAGTAAATGTACTTAGTTACTGTCCGCCTCTGGTCATTTAGCAGACTCTTTTATCCAAAGCGACTTACAAATTAGGAAAATAAAAGCAATTAAAACCAACAAAAGAGCAACAATATATAAGTGCTGTGACAAGTCTCGGTTAGTTAAACGCAGCAAACGTAGCAAGTTTTTTTTTAACTATTATTAATTTTATAATAAATAAAAATAAAACAAGTAGATAGAATAGAAAGAGAATAGAGAATGCTAGTGTTAGAGGGTCAAACATTTTAAATAGAAAGAAAAAAAGTTTAAATAACAGAAAAATAATAGAGAATGCTAGTGTTAGAGGGTCATTTTTTAATAAAAAGAAAACAAGTAGTTAGAATAGAAAAAGAATAGAGCAAGCTAGTGAGGTCTTTTTTGCTTTTGTTAATTGTATAATAAATGAAAAGAAAACAGATAGAATACAAAAGATTAGAAAGCAAGTGTTATTTTTTTATTTTGTATTTTTTAAGAAAACAAGCAGCAAATGAATAGAGTGCAAGTCTAAAAGGGACGTGTTTTTTTTTTTTTTTTTTTAAGAATAGAATTAGAATAGAGAGTGTTAGAGTTAGAGGGTCAAATAAAGATGGAAGAGATGTGTTTTTAGCCGATTCTTGAAGATGGCTAAGGACTCAGCTGCTCGGATTGAGTTGGGCAGGTCATTCCACAAGGAGGGAACATTTAATTTAAAAGTCCGTAAAAGTGATTTTGTGCAATTTTGCGATGGCACAATAAAGCGATGTTCACTTGCAGAACGCAAGCTTCTAGAGGGCACATAAGTCTGAAGTAATGAATTTAGGTAAAGGGGTGCAGAGCCGCTGGTGGTTTTGTAGGCAAACATCAATGCCTTGAATTTTATGCGAGCAGCTATTGGTAGCCAGTGCAAATTGATAAACAGAAGTGTGACGTGCATTCTTTTTGACTCATTAAAATTAATCTTGCTGCCGCGTTCTGGATTAATTGGAGCAGTGTTGTGTGTAAATAAGGTCCAGTTGGTTGCCTGATTTGTGATTAGCAGTAGTTACTCAAATGGCAAATGGCAGTAGTTGACACTCGGTTGAGATCAAAAGAGGCAAGCAGAGTGTGGAAGTCTGCAGCCTGAGGTTTATCTAGGTGGATGTTGAAGTCTCCAAGCATAACTAGGGGAGTACCATCCTCAGGAAAGGTTGAGAGCAGCACATCTAATTCATCCAAGAAGTTACCTAGTGGTCTGGTAAACAACAAAATATAATACAATATACTACAAAATGGATTTTAAACCACCTCTTCCAGTCAAACGGGGGGAGTGGGAAAATGAGAAATTATCGGAGAGTGCTGCAGGTGTAGTAGCAGTGTCCTCTGGTTTGATCCAGGTCTCTGTCAGGGCCATGAGATTTAGCTTTGAATGACTAATAACAGAAGTAATGAAATCGGCTTTGTTTACAGCAGACTGGCAATTCAAGAGACCAATAGAAAAAGAAAGTAGTGTATTAGCAGACATAGGCAAAGTGTGCAGGTTGTTAGGGATGCGCTGCCTATAGTGTGTGAGTTTTTTTTTCCCTCAGCATTATTGCTGTTTGATTATTACTAATGACATCATAGACAGTGGCAGCTTTAATAGGCTGCATTCACACTAATGCACATATCTATTTCAACATATCAGATGTTTTGTCCCATTCTGGAAACATAACCGTGTTTACATCAATTTCGTATCATAAAAGTATTCAGAGATGCAAGTGCATTTAAAAACAGCCGCGAGCTTCAGGACAAAGAAACACAAAGCGCACGTGAAAGTCTGTCAGTACGTGGGTTTCGTGCATCTAATACTCGCTTTGGTTTTTCACCTATCTCCGCCATTTGACAAGCGCATATGCGAATGACGTCAGTTGGCTATAATCGATAATGGTCTATTACTGCATCGATTCACAAACGTCCACGTCCGCATCGCGATGCATTGTAGACAATTAATTTCAATACCCCTACTCTTAACCCAGCACTTTTAGAGAACTACAGACCGGTATCCCTTCTTCCATTCATTGCAAAATCACTTGAACAAGTTGTGTTCAAGTGACCAAGTCTCTGCCTTTCTCACACAGAAAAACCTCCTGGACAGCGAACAGTCTGCCTTCAGAAGTGGACATTCTTATCTTATCTTACTTTTTTCAACCAAGACTGCCTTGTTCTCGGTTGTTGAAGCCCTAAGACTGGCAAGAGTAGCTTGCAAATCTTCAATACTTATCTTGCTGGATCTGTCTGCTGCTTTTACCATGGTTAACCACCAGATCCTCCTGTCAATCCTATTGGCAAAGGAACTGCACTCCAGTGGCTTGAGTCTTATCTCTGAGATAGGTCCTTCAAGGTACCTTGGAGGGGTGAGGTGTCCAAGTTGCAACATCTAACTACTGGGGTGCCTCAGGGCTCAGTTCTTGGACCACTTCTATTCTCTGTCTACATGGCATCACTAGGTTTTGTCATTAAAAAATATGGCTTTACATATTATTGCTATGCTGATGACACTCAACTCTACCTCTCATTCCATCCTAATGATCTAACAATAGCTGCTTGCATCTCAGCATATCTAACAGTCATTTCTTGCTGGATGAAGCACCATCATCTGAGATCAGAAAACTGCTTGTGGTTTCAGCAAACCCATCACTTCATCACAATTTCACCATCCAGCTAGGCACATCAACCATAACTCCTTCAAGGACAGCCAGGAACCTTGGAGTTGTGATTGATGATAAGCTGAATTTCACAGTCCACATTGCTAAAATCGCCTGGTCCAGCAGATTTGCTTTATACAACAATAGGAAGTTCAGGCCCTTTCTTTCAGAACATGCTACACAACTCCTTGTTCAAGCTCTTGTTCTGTCCAGGCTGGACTACTGCAATGCTCTCTTGGCAGGTCTTCCGGCCAGTTCTATCAAACCTCTACAACTAATCCAGAATGCGGATGCAAGATTAGTCTTTAACGAGCCAAAAAAAAAAAAAAAAGCATGTTACACCTCTGTTCATCAATTTGCACTGGCTACCAATAGCTGCTTGCATAAAATTCAAGGCAATGATGTTTGCCTACAAAACAACCACTGGCTCTGCACCTCTTTACCTAAATTCACTATTTCATACTTATATGCCCTCCAGAAGCTTGCGATCTGCAAATTAATGGCACATTATAGTGCCATCCCAAAGAGGCACAAAATCACTTTCACAGACTTTTACCTTAACTGTTCCCTCGTGGTGGAATGACCTGCCCAATTCAATCCGAGCAGCTGAGTCCTAGGACATCTTCAAGAAACAGCTAAAAACACATCTGTTCCATCTACACTTGACCTTCTAACACTACCACTCTCTATTAAAAAAAAAAAAACACTTGTCCCTTTTAGACTTGCACTCTATTCATTTGCTGCTTGTTTTCTTAAAAAAAATAAAAATAAAAATAACACTTGCTTTCTAATCTTTTGTATTCTATCTGTTTTCTTTTCATTTATTATACAATTAACAAAACCAAAAAAGACCTCACTAGCTTGCTCTATTCTTTTTCTATTCTATGTTTTCTTTTTATTTATTATATTATTATAATAAACCCTTGCTACGTGTTCTGCGTTTAGCTAACTGAGACTTGTTATAGTATATCATTGCTCTTTTGTTGATTTTGATTGCTTCCAGTGTCCACATTTGTAAGTCTCTTTGGATAAAAGCGTCTGCTAAATGACTAAATGTAAAAAGAAAAACCCATAACTATGATTGTTGTACACTTTCAGATACTTAAAGCACTCTCAGATACTGAAAGTACTTTTTGTTTATCACTTGCAGTTGCCTTTCCCCCCCTTTATTACTTTATATTGGCTGTATGTTTTGAAGCTATATTTGTGAGTTAAATTCTTAACAATTGGTTTGATTTGTAATGTTTGCTTTGTGTTTGTTTGTCCTGAAGCTTGATCGCGGCTGCGGTTAAATGCACTTGCATCTCCGAATACTTTTATGATACGAAATTGTGAATGCAGCCTATTAAAGCTGCCACTGTCTATGATCTCATCAATAATAATCAAACAGCAATAATGCTGAGGATAAAGAAAAACCTATAACTATGATTGTCTGTAAACTTTCGGATACTTAAAGCACTCTCAGATACTGAAAGTACTTTTTGTTTATCACTTGCAGTTGCCTTTCCCCCACTTTATTACTTTATATTGGCTTGTATGTTTTGAAGCTATATTTAGTGAGTTAAATTCTTAACAATTGGTTTGATTTGTAATTATTTTAAAAAGTAGCTGTAATGTAGTGTTTGGGTTTTGTCATGTTCATGTTTTCATGTCTTTTATTTTGTAATTGTTTTATGCTGTTTGTGTCATGCTTCCCTTGCCCTCATGTCTTCATGCTATTGGTTCCTCTGTTCATTGTGTCATGTTCTGAGTGGTTGTCTTAGTCATGTGTCTTGTTTCTCATTGGTTGGTTCATGTCATGTGACCCGGATTGTTTGGTATTTATAGCCCTCTTGTTTCCATTGTCTCGTGTATTGAATGTATTTAATCCTACTGTTGGTGAGTGTTCAAGTCAAGTCTGTTCAAGTCAAGTCAAGTCAAGTCTATTCAAGTCAAGTCTATTCAAGTCAAGTCTAGTCTTCGTTTGTATGTTTGGATTTTGGTAGTGATGGGAAACTGAGGCTTTCATGAAATTGTGCTGAAACACGGTTCATTACTCGAAT